ATCTGTAAAAAAAAAAAAAAAAAAAAATTCGTCCTAGTAGCTATATTTTGTAGTAATGAACAGAGAACAACAACACTATCGTTCGTCAGCTTGCTAAACTGGATTACAACATGGTCCAAGCCCTTCATTTAGATGAACTCAAACAACTTTCAAGGTATATATATATATATATATATATATATATATATATATATATATATATATATATATATATGCGAAGATGGCATGAAATTAAAATATCAATCTTGCACAAAAGTTGGGTTTCGCAAGGACTAAAAATTACACATCAGAAAATTACAACTCACAAATTTTAAAATTGCAATGTACGTAGTTATAATTTCTCTTGTATTTCCCATCCAAAAATTTACATCATGATGTGACTTTTATTCATTGGATGCCAATGAATTAACTGATCCCACCACTAATTTAAAATATAAATTTAACTACTAGTAAGATAATGCCACATCAAATGTGAAAGTTATTAGAGCATCTACATAAGTAGATATTAGGAAGATAATGTCAGATTCATTCTCTTGAGTGAGGATAATATCAAGTGTGGAGAAGAAATAAAGGAGGAAAGATTTCTCCTGCAAAGTAGGGGATAATGGCAGAAAAGAAGAAAAAAAATAAAAAAGGAACATCGCTGTCGTGCGTGTTTCGCGCACAGCAGCCAGCCCACACGGGCGCGTGGGCGCGTCAGGCGCGCCGAACGGCGCGCCTGACACTTCTGTTTTTTTAATTTTTTTTTGTTTTTATTTTTTAGTTTTGTTTTGTTTTTTTTTTTTTTTCCTCCCCTTCCCCCTTCTCTTTCCTAATCACTCTTACATTATCCCCTATTCTCCTCAACCATTGTGGATGCTCTTAAGGAAGATAAAGGAGGGGTTTATAGCATGACTCTTTTACAAATTCACAAGTTTTCACCTAGTCGACCGTTCTCACATGTTGGAAATAGTTATTGTGTGGACCGTGGTCCACACAACTATGTGGACCACGGTCCAAAAACGACATCGTTTCGCGTTTTTTTTTCACACGGCCTACTACAACATATATTTTTATAACGCATAATATACATTATTCTAACTCATAAAATATATTATTTTACTCATAAATTTTATTATTTTAACACATAATATACATTATTCTAATACATAAAGTACATTATTTTAATTTATAATGTACATTATTCGAACTTATAAAATTCAATGACTTTATTTTGGAACAACGTAGTTGTGTGAACCACAGTACACATAATTATTTGCCCTGTTGGTACCTTTTGAATTTGTAATCGAAAATGATTATATTTTTGTAAGATGTGGTCAACTGGTCATTTAAGGCTGCTTGACGATCATCACGTGCAAATTGAAATTAAAGCAAGGTCTTGAAGAGTTCACGCTAGTTTTTATTTTTAAGTTCCTTTAGCTTTGAGTGATATATATCACTACAAGTCTACAAATGTAATATATGAATTGAAAGAAAGATATGCATTTCAATGCACCAAATAATCCGGGTACTAATATAAAAATGACCATCATAATAAAATTGTGTGATTGGTATTTATATAAATTAAAGAATGTATATCTTCTTTTGTCAGCTTGAGTCATTAAAATATGATTTATTTAATTCGTATATTCTAGTTGTGAGTTAGTGACTGCGAGTTTCTCTGTATCACTCAAAGAAAAGAATGCCTATAATTGAAATGATATAACATAAATAGTCTTGTTTAATTTTAAGTAGAATAAAATAATAAATATATTTCGTTCTAAGGGAAGTAAGATTTAAAAAAAAAAAAAATGAAAATAAACATCTTGATCTGATTGGGCATCCACTCAATTGAATAAAAATGGTTTTGTGTCCTAGAAGAATGAAAGTGTGGTATATGCTTAAATCCTAATGTTAAGGGCTCCTCGCTCTAATCCGGGGATCGTGAGATGAGATAATCATGAAATATGTTTCAGCGAAATATGGTCTGAGTGCTTGAATCTAAATATTTATTGGATCATTATACGCACACTCAATCTTTTGACCATGGAACAATGTCCTGATGTTAGGAATGAAGGAGATGTATGTTTTGAAATTATGGGACCAAATTAAAATTAAAAGAAATTTACTAGTACATGAGAAAGTTGGATGTTGACTCTTGTGTGTTGTACAATATGTATGTGGTCGTTTAAGGCTGCTTAATGGATGTTGAGAAAGTCGGTGTCTTTAACGTTATTTTACTCTTATTTCTTTCAATGAGCTTGAGTTTTAAATACACATTATGTGTGATTGTTCAATGAATATAAAAAGTTAGTAAAATTAAATGATTGAAAAAAATAACATATATCTTATATTGATATATATTATAAGATGTAATTTCAATTTTTGATGTTAAATTTATAGTTTAGAGTTTTTAACTTTACAATTAAACCAGATCTGCAAGGATATGCAGAACTCACACCAAAGAAAAATAATATTATGTTGGAGATATAATATTTTTAAATTAAATTTGGAGTAGTAATTTATTGAAGAAAACATAAAAAGATGCTGGGAAATGAGCTTCAAATTTCGAGAGAATTAGGTGTTAAATTTCAACTTTGTCCATATATTGCACAAGATTTTCTCAAATTTATGTTTGTTGGGGTGAATTCCTAACTTTGAGAATAATTAAGGGGCGAAATATAAATACGTCCATAAGTTTGGGATTAAGTTGTCATCACAAGTATAACCCCACGACCAAGGATGTTATACTTTTTCAAATATAAATAATTTAAAATGTTACCATTTTGAAAATTCAAAGTACTTTTTTTTTTTTTTTTTTTTTTTTTTATAAAAATTCAAAGTACTTTCTTTGATTCTATTCAAAGTACGTTCTAGTTTCTACAATTTATATATTTTTTTAATTTAACCAATGTTATTCAATTCATCAATAGTTTAGCATGCGCGCTATGTTGAAGCACATTGGCATAATAATATAATTTATTCCCTTAAATTCTATATGTGTCAAAAAGTTAACTGAAAATGTAACGAGAATCTATAATAGTGCGTTTAATTGTGTATTATTTGTAAATATATTAGCAAACATTTCTCAACACATCATAATAATTACAAACCTTGTTTTTTTTTTCCTCCCATTTTTCTCTTATATATTTTTCCAGCTTCTAATCAATTCTAGACGAATGGATGAAAACAAGGCCCCTTGTTCTCACATTATCATTCCTAATATATATTTTTAATTAGAGTTTTAAAATACTATATCTTTTATACATTATTTTTATATGTATAACAAGAAAAAAAAAACTTAAATTGAAAAAAAAAAATTATTGGTATAACAATTATCATTACAAATGTAATAGTAACACTTGTAATATATGAAAGAAAAATATGCGTGATGTACCAAAAATAACACTTGTAATCATTACAATATGTGTTTTAATGCACCAAAAAATTCGGGCACTATTAAACGAAATCTATAATATAAAAATGACCATCATAGTCAAATTGTATGTGTATAAATTAAAGTATATATATATATATATATATATATATATATATATATATATATATATATATATATATAGTGAAAGGTTCCCGTGCGGTTCAATGCTTCCCGTGTGGTTGTGCGGTTGATTAATGTGCGTGAGGTTTGTACTCAATGTGCGTGAGTATTGTGTTTAATGTGCCTGAGATTTGTACTTAATGTGCGTGTGTGTGTAATGTCAATGTGCGTGAGTTTTGTACTTAAGGTGTGTGAGTCTTGTGCCTAAGATGCGTGAGTCGTGTGCTTAATGTGCGTGAGTACGTGTGTTCAACATTATAATCAATGTCAATTATTTATTTTAATGTCAATTATAATCAATCTTTCTTATATTATCTTTCATTCAAATACTTTGAATTACCGATTTAAATGAACAAATTCAACATTTTTTATTTTTTGAAAATAAAGAAGCTAATTCATTAATCATACGCTGAAGCGTTTACAATAAAGATCGATGGAATGGTCAAACATTTTTTACAGTCAGACATAGAAACAACTTTCCTAGCAATGCTAAAGAAAACTTGATTCGCAAACTGTTTTACAAATGTGAAGTTGAATTCTTTGAACGAACTTAAAGCTTCTTTAATGATTTGGCCAAACATACCCAAGATTGACACTGGTTGAATATTCTTGCACACCACCTGAGTATCTATTTCCATTCTTCTATCCATTGACAATATCTCTATCGAACTGAACTGCATATATCATAGTTCAGAGGAGTCTCTTTTTCATTCTCATGTTTGTCACCCAGGATGAGATTCACATACGTCATGACCAGTTTTACCGTTTCACGCTTTATGAACAAGAACTCGCTAAGTAAACGAGAGGAAGAAACTCGTCAAAACAACGAAAAAAAAAACACATAGACTGCAAACAAAATTAAACCAGTAAAACAAAGTAAATGGAAACAACAATGTGAAAATAAGGGAGCTGAGTAGCGACTGGTAGCGATGGAGATGGAGGAGAAAACGGTGAAGGCAGAAAAGACAATGAAAGTGAACACTGTCTGCGGTGGAGATGGCGGTAGGGGAAGACGATCGGACGTCGCCTCCGATTCGCTTGCTTCACGGATGCGGCGGCCATGTAGAATACCATAGACAAGAGAATTGTAGGAAACTTAGGATTTTTATTTTTTGACACATTTAACAAATTTAACATTCAATTACCTATGCATGAACATCTCCTATATAATATTGCATTGATATATTTTGAAATACTTATTTAAAAATAAACATTGGACATTATCTCATTCGCGCAATGTGCGTGTAATTATTATAATTCTAAATAATTACGACCCTGACTTCTATACACACGGCATTGCAAAATTAGGCAAAATACCAAAGTAGGTTTAGGTGTACTCAAAATGAAATTGGATGATGGATCCAAGTGTTATTTTGAGAAACTACAAGGGTCAAGAAGACATTTTCCTTTCTATAAATAACCATGTTTCAGCATCAACATTTCTCACCAAGTCAAGTTGAAGATAAAGAGAACCGCCTCAGTTTCTTTTCACACAAATTGACAAAGGTATATCATATGAGACCAATGGTAGTTTTTTTTTCATAAGGATTACCATTTTCCTAATAAGTATTATAGTTTTTTTTTTTTTTTTGCTCTTTTAATTTAAATATATTATATTTTTCATCAAAAGTATCATATTTTTCCTCATTACATTTTCTTTCAGAAGTAACGATAATTCAATTTCATATTTTTTTTCTCATAAATAATGGTTCAACTCATAAATATTATATTTCGATTTAAAAGTATTATATTTTTTTCTTCAAAAGTATTGCACATTTCCTTATTATATGTAATAAATAATTTATTCCTCATTAATATCATATTTTATTTTTGAAAAAAATGGTCAAATTAAATAAGCCCTCAAACTTTACCTAAGAAGTCAATTATATATGTTCCTAAACTTTTTAAATTAGCAATTAAACCCATCAACATTGTATTTTGGTGCAACTAATAGATTTTTAGACTTCATTGCACCAAAATACAATGTTGATGGGCTTAATTATTACTTTAAAAAATTTAGGGGCCTATTTGACTTCTTAGTTAAAGTTTGCGAGTTTATTTGACTCTTTTCCCTTTACTTTTTATTTTTATCAAAACTCGACCTGTCTCATGGATCTTAATTAAGATGGGAGACTTCCCCTTATTATATGATATGTGTTCAGCTATCATTTAACAAATATAATACATGGAGTTATTAAAATTGTTAATTGGCATGCATGGTGCAGGTGTTTAACTAATTAACTTTCCCGGCCTTCCACATGTCTCCACAAATAGTCGAAAGTGAAAGTGAAAGGAGGTCTGGGAATTATGCTCCTAAGGTTTGGACGGATGAATTTATGCAATCACAAACTAGTGTGTATCTGGTGAGTATGTAAAGCAGGCATGCATCCACATACAATTTTAGTTTATTAATTACTTATTTGAAATTGAAGTGACAAACAAATTAATTAAAATTCATATCGATCTGTTCTATATATATATATATATATATATCCCTCCCGCGGCGGCCTTCTTCGTTCTATGTATGTAGGACCAAAAATACTTGGAGCAAGCTGCAAAGCTGAAGGAAAGTGTGAGGGCAATGTTGGAAACTAGTGCGACGAAGCCATTGGAGCAACTGGAGCTTATTGATGCCCTTCAAAGACTTGGGCTGTCGCGTCATTTTACTCATGAAATAAACAACATCCTGGCAAGCATGCACGTACATATTGATAAGCACCAAAACAATGGCAGTAGTTTGTACGAAACAGCTTTACTGTTTCGGTTGTTGAGACAAGAAGGCTTCCAAATTGCCCAAGGTAATAGCGCACCAAGAGTTAAACAAACCAAGAAAAATGAGTAATTTAATTGTATGTTGCGGCGTTTTGTTGCAGAAATCTTCAAGAGTTTCATGACTGAGGAAGGAAGTTTTGATGTGAAGCTTTGTGGGGATATTAAAGGAGTGTTAAGTTTGTACGAAGCCAAAAAAGTATACTAGTCTAAGTTATTTATAGTTTATTGGCTCAAACTAAAAATGTCAATAGATAGTTACTACATGTAGTCCAATTTGAAATATTGTAGTTAACAAACTAACTATTTGACCAACTTGAATGAAATTGACCATAAGAAAATGTCCTGTATGTAGAGTAAATATCGTACGATTCCTAAGGGCATTCCTGTTTGTATTTTTTTTTTCTTTTTTTGCCAAGATGGAGGAGAGCTAGAGATTGTGAGATGCAGGAAAGAGGGGTAAAAAAAAAGAGAAGAAATTAATTTTACACTAAGTTAGATTTTGTTGGGCGTGGGCCGGGTTGGCCGAGTTCAACCCCCGCTCGATTCGAGACGTGGCGCTGTGGCTTACCATAGAGAGATGTGGTTAAATGGTTAATGTACACCTACCTATCACCAATTGATTTTAAGTAGGATATGGCAACCAGGTACCATAGAACTTTGTGGTTAAGCGTGCTTGACATCTGACAATCGCGGGATGGGTGACCCCTGGAAAGTAAGCATAGTGCAGCGCTGAGAGAAAGAACGACAATCCCGGGGGTCAAAAGAGCGACAATTCTGAGAGAGAAGAGAAAGTTGGCTTGTTAGGCGCACAATATAAGAAGAAATGGAAGCACAACATTATTATCTTCGTCTTGAAGCACTTTTTTTTTTTTTTTTTTTAGAATCACAACATTAAAAAATTATCATTGCTTACCACATTAAAAAGTAAAAGTGAGGAAGAAAAAATTGAAAGTACGCTAATTAATGAAGTTTATATATACCTACAGATCGCTAGCTTAGCTTGCTTCATTTTGTATTGTCTATGTAGTTTTGATCATTGGATCTTCTCCTTCTGTATTCGATTCCATGTCTTCTATATATGAATAAAGCAAAGCTCTCTTCTCTGTTTTTCCTTTCACCTCTCCTCTAAACTTTTACTCCTTTTCAATTTTAGTCACATAATTACAGTGAATTACAACAAAATTTGGTAAGTTTAAAACTCAAGAACAAATTTTGGAGATGAGTGAAAAGATCATAATTTTTCCTAAATTAAATAATTAATGACAATACATCACATTAACATTTGATACAAATTTTAATAATTTTTTTAAAGAGTAATGCTATCTAACCATCTAAAATTTTACTCTCCAAACTTTCCCTTCTTAGATGACATTTTCTAATTGAACAATTAATTTTCTTTTTAACTGATGATGTGGTCACACACGTTATGAGCACCAATGATTTTTAAGTCACATCATGGGATGTAGGGGTGTGCAAACCCGACCCAACCCGACATACCCGACCGACCCGACGCCCGAAAACACCCCTTCCGACCCGTCCGTGGTCCGATTAGCTTAATCCGAACCGAAGGCAAAACGACGTCGGATAAAGCAGGTCGGATAGGATTTGGTTTTTTCCCATCCGACCCGTCCGACTACCCGATCTAACCTAGGGTTAGGTTTTTGTGTATGCTAGACGACGTCGTATGAGGTAAGTATATATGTATGTTGAAGCCTTTGTGTAGCCAGATGCGCAGCCCTACTCTTCTGATTCTTCTCTCAGTTCTCTCAATCTCTCATCTCTGAGACTCTCTCACTCTCAGAGGCTCAGAGCTCTTCTCTCGTTCTCTGCTCTCTACTCCTCTCAATCTCATCCTCTCAATCTCTCATTCCTTTGAGTCTCTCACAGTCGTCTCACCTCTCTGAGACTGAGAGTCTGACTGTATGAGACTCTGAGTCTCTGTGGACTGTCCGATTGTCCGGTGTGCGGTGGTCGACTGGTGGAAGCCCTTCTTGAGTTGGTGGTGGAACGTGGACTGGTGATTAGAGGCCCTTGTTCTCCGGGGAATAATAAGGGAAACCAAGTAAATCAGAAACCCTAGTTTTAGTTTTTGTGATATGTTGATTCTTTCCTCTTCGTATGTTCATATGCTCGTATATTTGTGTTAGATTATGCTATGTTGTGTTCTATTCTCTGATCTAGTATGGTGGAAGCAGAAACCCTAGTTTTTGTTTGTCTGATCTGTTGATTCTTTCCTCTCTGTATGTTCATATGCTCGTATATTTGTGTTAGATTATGCTATGTTGCTATGTTGTGTTCTATTCTCTGATCTAGTATGGTGGAAGCAGAAAGTCAGAAACCCTAGTTTTTGTTTGTCTGATCTGTTGATTCTTTCCTCTCTGTATGTTCATATGCTCGTATATAAGTATATTTGTCTTAGATTATGCTATGTTGTGTTCTATTCTCTGATCTAGTATGGTGGAAGCAGAAACCCTAGTTTTTGTTTGTCTGATCTGTTGATTCTTTCCTCTCTGTATGTTCATATGCTCATATATTTGTGTTAGATTATGCTATGTTGCTATGTTGTGTTCTATTCTCTGATCTAGTATGGTGGAAGCAGAAACCCTAGTTATTGTTAGATTATGCTATGTTGTGTTCTATTCTTTAAAGGTGGAAGCAGAAACCCTAGTTTTGTACCTGTGAATCTGTGATTTGTGTGGACTATGATATTGTAATCTGTTAAAGGCTTGAATGTGAAATTATCAAGTTTCAAACTTGAAATTTCCATTTATTGGTGGAAGCCATTAACATGAAATCCAGATAATGATGAATTGGATACAATTCCTGAATCTGGATTTCTTTCATTATTTGAGTATGTTTATGGATGTATTACCCTTAATTGAATATTTGAATGTAAATATGTAAATATGTAAATATGAAATTGTGAAATCTTGATACATGATGACACAAAAAAGTGTCTGAATCCAGATTTCTTTGTATGTTTATGTGAATCAGTGAATGTGATTGTTGGCTTGTTGTCTTTGCTGAGTAATTGATGCCCATCATTTTAGATGGAAAGCATCAATGTTCCTGACTCTGGACCTCAACCCTCAACTCAAGAGGGACATGGAGGACAAGCCCAAGGCACTGAGAATCCTGCTCAGTAGCCTCAGGTTGCTCCTGTTGTTCCTGCAAAAAAGAGGAGGGTGGTAGAGTCTAGGTCTCCAGTCTGGGATCACTTTGAAAAGATAAAGAACTCTGAAAATATAGTGGTTCAAGGCAAGTGCATTTACTGCCTGAAAGTGTTTTTCTGTGAGTCAAAGAAACATGGCACATCATCACTGAAAAATCATATGATGGCATGCCTAAAAAATCCTGTCTCAAAGGATATGAAGCAGTCCCTTCTCACATTCAATACTGTTGCAACTTCTGCAACAGAGGCTCCTGTGGGGGTTTTGGGGACTTGGGTCTTTAATCAAGAAGCCATTAGAAGGGCATTATGTGAGATGATCATAATAGATGAACTCCCTTTTAGGTTTGTTGAGGGTCAGGGGTTCAAGAAGTTTATTCTTGTAGCTTGTCCAAGGTTTCAGATTCCTTCTAGGTGGACTATTTCTAGGGATATCTACCAAATCTTCCTAGATGAGAGGTTGAGTCTTAAGAAGTTGTTTAGGGTGGGCACCCAAAGGGTCAGTTTAACCACTGATACTTGGACTTCTGTCCAAAGGATTAATTATATGTGCATTACTGCACATTTTATTGATGACCAGTGGAGGCTTCAGAAAAAAATCATTTCCTTTGTCCCTGTTTCTTCTCATAGGGGGGAGTATATTGCTAAAGCCTTAGAGAGTTGTCTGTTGGAGTGGGGGATTAAAAATGTGTTCACTGTGACAGTGGACAATGCTTCTTCTAATGATACAGCTATGGGATTCTTTAAAAGCAAGTTGTTGTCTTGGGGGGGTTCTTCTGTTAGGTTGCAGTATATGCACATGAGGTGTATAGCCCATATTTTAAATTTAGTGGTTCAAGATGGCTTGAGGTTTGCAGATGAGTCAGTTAAAAGGGTGAGGGATGCAGTGAGATGGGTTAGGAACTCACCTGCTAGGTTGAATAAGTTCAGAGAACTTGCTGAACTCATTGGGGTGGAAGCCAAATCAGCTTTGCAGCTTGATGTCCCTACAAGGTGGAACAGCACCTACCTTATGCTCAACACTGCAATTCAATATCAAAGTGTCTTTGACTCATATCATCAAAATGATCCTTCTTTTTCTGCTGACTTGGGTTCTGCACCTTCTTTCCTTGATTGGGAGACTGTTGAAAGCTTAATGAAGCTTTTGAAAACTTTCTATGAAATGACTGTGAGAATATCTGGTTCTCTTTATGTCACTTCTAACACATTCTTCTCTGAGATCTCTGATCTCAGTTGTATGCTGGAAGATATGACTAAAGCTGACAGAACTGAAAAGGTAAAAAACTTGTACAATTTATTTGTGTAATTCTGTATATGAGTATATCTTGTAAGTTGTTTACTTGTTTGTGTTTTTAAATGCTTATGCTTTCTGAGTTTCTGTATTTATTAGGCAATGGGGACAAAAATGAAAGAGAAGTTTGATAAGTACTGGGGAGATCCAGAAAAAATGAACCATATCATTTTCTTTGCCAATATTTTGGACCCTAGAGATAAAGAGGAGTACATGCCTCACCAGTTTGTCCAGTTGTATGGAGAGGCCAAAGGCAAAGAATGTTTTGCCAAGGTCCAAAATTCAATGGTTGCATTGTACAATGACTATGCAGCTACATACTCTGACAGTTCATCATCTAACCAACCTGTCCAGTCTCATCCTCCTACTTGTACAGTTGGTAGGCCTGTCTCAAGGATGAAGAGTGAACTTAAAAAAAAAAGATTGGAGAGTGGTGGTGGAAGCAGTAAGCAGACAGAGCTACAAATTTACTTGAGTGAAAATCTGGTTGAGGATGATGAATCTGTGAGTTTTGATGTTCTAAAGTGGTGGAAGAATCATAGTGAGAGATTTCCTATTCTCTCCAAAATGGCTAGAGATGTACTTGCAGTTCTTATTTCCACAGTTGCATCTGAGAGTGCATTTAGTACAAGTGGGAGGGTGCTTGATGCATTTAGGAGTTCCTTGACTCCTAAAATTGTGGAAGCTTTACTGTGTACCCAAGATTGGTTGAGGTTACATAATCAGCCAATCACAGTTGAGGAAAATTTAGATGAGGTTGAGAGATTGGAGAAAGGTAAATTATATATATATATATATATATATATATATATATATATATATATATATATATATATATATATATATATATATTTCTTACATCATTTCTTTTGTACTTTTGTAATTTGTAAGTCTATAACTAACTACTAATTCTTAACTGTTTTGCAGAGTTACCCACTGGAGCTGGAACTACTCTACCATCAATGCTGCCATCCATTCCTGTAATGTTTTCAGTAATTATTTATCTTTATATGTTATGGTGTTGTACTGTTGTTTGCTGATGGCCTTCAAAAGATGAAACTGTGAGAATATCTGCAGTCTATGTGGCTTGGCAACTTTCTATAAGTATATTATAGAAATGTTGCCCCACTTAGAGTTGCCATACTCCCATAACACCCATTACATCCATTCTGGATCTCTGGTATTTCTCTCATCCTCTTAACTGATCTCTGTTCAGTTTTAATGCATTATTATTTATTCTTACTTGTTTTTTTGGCAATGATGATGCTTCCACCACTGTCTGAACAAATGGTATAGTGTTGCTATGTTGCTCATGTGCTATAATAACACATTTGAGCAATTTGCCACTATCCTAGCTTGAAATGGAAAATTGCAATCTGAGCCTATAAGGCTATTAGCCTAATGCCCCTACTTAGTTAGCTGTTGACTACATAGGTTGTCTAATAATCTAATATTCTGTTAAGTTTTCATATTAACAGGAAGAAGTGTAGTCGTGTAGAAATGGTGAATGGTGATTGATGATTTGATGAAAAGGCCTAGACTGGATTACTTGAATGATTGCTGACTTGCTGTTTTGCTGAAGTTCTGTTTAAGTGATTAACTTCAAATTTGTAATGTTTTGGAAGTTAAACACTTAAACTTATATTCTTTATGTATTCGTTTACTTTTTGCACTTTGGTTTGTAAACTTGAATTATTTTGCTCTCCAAACTGTCCATTATTAAGTTGTTGCATCACTTGCATGTTTTAGTTTGTTAATTTATTAGTTATTACTTATTTTGTTAATCATATTATCATTATTATGTTTTTTCAGTTTTTTATTTTCAATTATCAATGAACTTTTCCAAATCCGAATTAGGTCCGACATCCGATCCGAGTAGTCCGAAATCCGACATAGCATATCCGATAGGGTTTTAGTTTCAAAACGGACGGATAGGACTTCAAAATTTTAATCCGCAATCCGATCAGATGAACGGAAAACCAGTCCGATCCGATCCGATCCGTCCGTTGCACAACCCTAATGGGATGAAATATTAAGGAAAAATTTTGGAGAGGAAAATATCATTTTCCTTTTTTATTTTTTAAAATCTTTGTAATAATGTCCCAATTGAATATGCATGTGATGAGTATGTGCATTTACAATGATGACTATGGAGGTGTTTAGTAAATGACTATTAGTTGATTGGATTAATGGATTTAACTAGTTGATAATATTACATGATTGTAGAAAAATATTTGGTAAATTAATTGCAAGCTTTTACATACAAAATGATTTTCTCAAAAAGCTTATAGAAAAAGTTACTTTGAGTAGCTTTTTGAATTTTAACATTTTAGAGCAATAAGTCTTTACAAAAAGTTAATTCATCAAATATTAATATTGATGGTTTAACCAAGTCAAACAGTTAATAGTAATAAAATAAATCAGAATTGACTGATAGGCTAACTATTTTATCAAACATGTCCTATATTGGAATTACATGTTGAATATGTGCATTTAATTATAGCATAATAACGTTAATATGAATTTTTTTTATTAATTACCACAAAATTTTAAAATTACGCATTACAAACAATAAAAAAGCATATTACAAGAAATTAACGAAATCATAAATAATTACTGCAGGCCATCACATTATTACTGTTCATCACATTCTTCAAACAAATCAAATTTATCAACCCAAAAATTGCAGGCAATCGTTGCACAATGTAGAGCTTCAACTAACTTAACGTGCACTATTATATTACCCTTACGTGGATGATGATCTCAATGTGATATAAACGGTATTTGGTTGGAGAGAATTACAATTTCATTCTACCTAATTCTCACATAATTTCAAAGGTAAGCATATTCCTTCGTTTGGTTGGACATTTTCATGGAATTAGAATCCCATGCCTCCCTATGTTATTTCAATTCCATGAATCTTAGGAAGAATAAAAATAACTTTGAAACAAAATTACCCCTATTTTTTAACTTAAAATTGATGTTTGACCTCCCTCTTTCGATTATAGCGTGTCTTCATCTTCTACTCTCAACACAGAACGTCAATCAGTAGACAACCTCAATCAAATATGTTTTCTCAAAACTCTCTTATCTATTAATCTAATTTATTTTATTGCTTTCGTTATGCAATTTTAGAATTTATTTACAGCGTGCTACATAAATTTTCAAAACCCAACATTTGAATTTGGTCATTTAAGATTTACAATAACAACAACAATAATAATAATAAGTATGTGCATGTTAGACTTTATACTAATTATTCCTTTCAATTCCCATGTATATCAAACATTGAAATTAAAATTCTCCGTAATTTTATTCTTGCAAACCAATCACTGTAATTAAAATTACCACTTTAATCCAACATTATTCTTTTCCCATAGAATTGCAATTCCTTTCGTATGTAATTCCCTCCCTCCAACCACTTTAATCCCACATTTTTTTATTACTTTAATCCCACATTATTAATATATTCTGTTAATATGTTTATTTACCTTCTTTAATTCTTACATAATTATATTGTAATATGTGTCTACCCTTATTAAAGGTTAATAATATAGATTGATATGATGTCCTAAAAGGAATAACTAAGTGAGTGAAGTATTTTTATTTTTATTTTGAAAACAATATCATTTTTGTATTTGAAAGTCATGAATTCGATTATTGTCAACAGGTCAAGTCTGAAAATTAATTACATATAAATTATTAACCAATATTGGTGCAGATTTCCCACTAATTAAAATAAGTCGTAAAGTTATTTATTGGGGTTTGGTGTAATTGGACTTGAACCTTCCTTAATGAGCCATGGATTTTACCATAATCAACTTATAGTAGAACTCATCTTGAGTTCTTGAAAACTGAGTTAGTTTTCTGTAAAAAAATTTATTTATAATGCAAGAATTCTAGTTTTGTGGATAACTATAATCATAACAAACTACCATCTAATCCTAACAAATCAAAGATAAATATAAATCTCTAAACTAATATTAATAAAATAAGATAAACATAGACAAACTTAATCCTAATTAACTAACCATACACTCATACTCATATGGATCTAAACCAACTAATATAAAGATATTGAATTTTTAAGTGCGTCTCACATTAAAAAGCTATATATAGATGCGAAGATAACAACAAATTAAGAAATGTTACAAGTCTACATATAAGCTAGAATACTAGTACTAGTAATAATAATAACTTGATAGTAAAAGGGATAATATATATAATCATCTTTTATTTGAAAATGATATTGGAGATTTTAAAAGCTAAGGTAGGGTGGATGGGATCAAAATCTTGAATAATGAAATGCAACATGATGATCATGTTTTGGGAGCATCCATGGCCACCACCACCGCCACCTGGATATCGGCCGATGTGCGAGAAACCGTGTCCAATTCAACCACCTCTTTGCTTTGATTCACCACCATATTCTTGTTCTCCTTTTGCTTCCCCCACAAAAACCCATAAAGCCCTAACACCAGCAAAGCTGCTCCCAAGATACTACATACATCATACACCATCCAATCAATAACAATAATTAAGTTTCAACTAAATCGAATTTCACCAGATTAATTACACATAACCTAACATTTTGATGCGTTAAAATCATGAATATTTTGTAATCAAAACCTCGTATATATCTATAATCACAACAATATAATGATTTTTGGTCCACCCAAACATACACTTAAATTTTATAGTATCTGCCTGTTTGAACCCGTACTATATACATTGAATAATGTTATAGTTTTTACATTTCTAGCTAGGGTTTATAAATTCAAAACCTGAGTCATATCATGAATTAAATATTTTTTTGTTTTAATATGCAGAGTCCATTGTTGAAACTTGAAAGTTCCATGGGGATGAAATGACCCCACAGCTAAAATGGTGGCATCCATCACCACAGAATATAATGCTACTTTACACTAAACGTTAGCATAAATAGCAGTCACTATTGTTGTCATATTTAGAACGCAATCCTGGATCTGAGATCTGATCTTCCAATGTACTAAAAAGAAGAGTCCATTAGTTGGACAGAAGCTAGCTAGCAATTTGAAGGAATTCAATCATACAAAATTTGGAAGCTAATTAAAGGGTTTCAATCATACATATATTATATAATTGTAAAGAAAGTAGAAAAAGCTAGGAAGAGAGGGACAGGACATGATGATTAAATGATAGAAAGATGAGGTGAGCTGACCTGCCCAAGTGAAGGATTTCATTCAAAAAAAGAACTGAAAAGAAGGCTGTCAACATAAGTGCCAATGGAGTGAACATGCTTGCATATACTGGCCCTTTCTTCTCCACAACCCATGCTTGTAACCAATAAGATATCCCTGTCACCACTATTCCCTGAATAAATGCATATATATCACCATTTTATTTCTACTTCTTCTTTTTATTTAATAAAAAATAAAAATATATATATTTAATTATACTTAGCTTACACAATATGCCACAGATAGAAGATTGATATCCCATCCAAGTTTCCATGATGACAAATCTCTCTCCTTAATTGCACCCCACAGTGTTGACATTACACAGCAAATGGAACACTGAAGAGTTACCAGCCGAAGCTTTGCTGGATATTGCTTCATGATAGGAGCCTAATTTAATAACAACAGGCCCCAAGGAATATTAATTATTATTCTTAGCTTTCAAGAAATATAATTTTTAAAAAGAAAAAATAATATTAAAATATTATTAATTACCTGCATGATGAGCCAAAGTGACCATGTCAAGTTAGCTCCAAGAATAAGAAGAGAACCTCTTATCCAATCTTGTTTACTATATGTAGTGTTTGCGGAAAGGTCAGACTTTTGCATTGCTTTAGGTGGGTACAAGGTAGGGCCTTTATACAAGGTAAAAACCATGGCCCCAATTATGCTCAACACACAACCCACCACTTTAGCTTTTCCATGGGATTTCTCTATCGCCAACCTCTCCAACCTTTTTTTTTTTTTTTTCAAATTTAAAAACATTGTTGTCAAACATTGTTGTCAATATAATATATCATCACCAACTAATGGACTGACAAAAGATTTAGTATGTATGTATTAAACAACAGTACAATATAATATTACCTTAAACAAATTGCTATGATAAACACCATAGCAGGGATGGTGTTGGTGGCTGCTGTAACAAACGTTGCAGACACATAGTTCAACCCCATGTAAAACAGGTTCAAGCTCAGGTTAATTCTGCACTATTCAATTCGCACACATTAAATACAATACAATGTTGTTTCAATTATATTCCATCATAATATGTATATATGTAATTCAATTTGTATATATAGTAGATAGATACAAGTTCAACGTAACGCTTACCCACACAAGGAGAGGATGCAAATCTTGCATAGCAATTTGCATGAGAGATGAGCTGAGTTCTGCCTGAAATTGGGTGAAACCATGCATCCAGAAAATAATATTAAGAAGAAAGCAAGCTAAGAATTGAAATTGAAGAAGCTAATAAGGGAAAAGAGAATTGGGTGATGACCTTTCGAAGAAGAAAGCGAAAGGAGCCAAGGCAAGAGCGGCGAAGGCTTGTCGATAAGCAACAAAAACGGAAGGTTTCATCCCTCTAGAAATGGCTGCTTTAGAGAGAAGGGTCATCCCTGTACACGTCAACTGAATGATCACCATTATCCCAAAAGCTTTGTGCTTCTTCCCTATCCCCATCATATCATGCATGCACTCCCACTTACTATATACCAACAACTATATCTATATGCATATATAAGTAGTATATATGTCTTCACTCACCCCCGGCCCCCTTTTACTTCTACATATAATATATATATATATATATATATATATATATATATATATATATATATATATATAAGTGACATCCGATCCGGAACCAGATTACCTCAATCAATCAGTCAACTTACTATAAGGTTAAAAAAAAAACTAAAAAAAACTGACATTAAATTTACTCTATATATATATATATATTTAATTAATATCCGCAACTAGATTATCTCAATTAAGCCGTCAACTTACTACCTGTTTCAAAGAAAACCGGCATTAAATTTATTATATATTAACCAAGCATCTTGTGGTCTGCTGCTACCAAGTTACACCAATTGTTATATCATCCCGTGCCTCCCAAAATGATGGAATTTTGTTAATTTCATGTATAAAATTTTTTGTTCAGGTATAAAATTCTGTACAATCTATTATATAATTATGTACATTCAAAATATGATTTTTTTTTTTTAAGAGTTAAGAGTTTACGTATATTATGTTAAGAGTTTATATATATTATGTATTAAGTTAGATTATGTGTATTATCTTTCAAAAAAGATTATGGCCCTGTTTGGTAAAATGACTGTTAGCTGATAGCTGTTAGTTGTTAGCTGATTGTGTTAATTAGATGGTATAAATAGTTGATAACATTAGCTGATTATAGAAAAGTGTTTGGTAAATTAGATGTTTGCTGATAGCTATTTGGTATAATTTTTTTTCTCAAAAGGCTAATTGAAAAAGTTGCTTGGAGTAGCTTTTTGAATTTCAGCCTTTTAGTCTTTTAGAGTTGCAAAAAACTAATTAATCAAACATTTATATTGATATTTTAACTAAATCAAACAATTAATAGTGGCCAAATAAGCTAAAATTGACCTATAAGCCAATTTTTTACCAAACAGGGCCTATGTGTATTCAGTTTTAAAATTCTATATGTTTTCAAGTATAAAATTTTGGTATTCTATTATACAATTCTTTACATTAGAAACGTGATTTTTTTTAAAGGAATTAACACTAGACACGTGAAAAGGTACAAAACGATGTTGTTTTGGGCCAAGGCGCACAATGGTCGCACAATGCATTGTGCGCCCTGGTGCACGTATAATTTGCCAAATGCACCCCTTATGTGGGAGGTGATGAGTTTGAGCCCACAAGCTATTTTTTCATGTGAATCTCAATAGTTTTATGTGTGATAGTACAAGTTACGAGTAATGAGAGTACATACATTTTCCTTATCATAATTATTCAATCAATTTAACCCAATAGGGTAGCTCAAGTGGCAAATGAGCTCTCTTTGTGGGGAAGAATTTTGGGATAACCTGGGTTCGATTCCCATAAGTGACGATTCTCTTTGGGTCAGCTTCTGTGTCTCCCGAGCGAACCGGGTGGACTTGGACCGTTAAACGAACAGAGAAAGACCCGGACCACATGGTGATTTACAAAAATAAAAAATAAAAATTATTCAATCAATTTACTACACGTTTTAACGAAAAGTCGTGTTAAGTTTACAAGTTGACCACAACGAAATCAGTTATTAATGGAGTAGACAAATCAAAACATAAAGGCCATGTTTGATAAATGGCTTTAGCTGATAGCTGTTTGGTATAATTTCTTTTCTCAAAAAATTAATTGAAAAAAATTACTTTAAGCAGCTTTTTGAATTTTAGCATTTTAGAATACATAAAACTAATTAACTAAACACTTATATTGATTTCTAAACCAAATGAAACAACTAAGGAATAAGGGTCAAATAGGCCATCGAACTGCACACAATAAAACAATTAGGCCACTGAACTTAAAAAATTAACAATTGGGTCCCTAAACTAATCAATTTCAAACAATTCTTTCAATTAGAAGGTTTCCAACAGGTCAACAGGTCATCTTTCCAAATTAATTATTTTTTAAAATTTAAATTTTAAAAATTAATTATTTAAATTAAAAAAAAAAAAAAAAAAAAAAAAAAAAAAAAAAAAACTGGTTCCAGCCGGAGACGGTCGTCTCCGGCTGGATTCCAGTTTTTTTTTTTTTTTTTTTTTTAATTTAATTTAAAAATAATTACTTTTTAAAATTTATATTTTAAAAAAATAATTAATTTGGGAGATGACCTGTTGACCTGTTGGAAACCTTCAAATTGGAAGAATTGTTTGAAATTGATTAGTTTAGGGACCTAATTGTTGATTTTTTAAGTTCAATGGCCTAATTGTTTTATCGTGTGCAGTTCGATGGTCTATTTGACCCTTATTCCAACAACTAATAGTGGTCAAATAAGTCAAAATTAGCTTATAGACTAACTACTTTACCAAACAGGGCCAAATACTACTTTCTACCAAACACAATCCCTCCCTGGTAAGTAAACTCCTTTCTGCATTAGGGTCTTTCTAGCATTGTGGATTATAGTCGAAAAATAGCTTTCAAATTCTGTATTCGTAGTTGACACATTCTGTACATGCAATCAACTATTTATGTACCTATAAGCAAATTGAAGGCACACCATATAGTAATTACAAACACACAAAATGATAACTACGAACACATAAACAATTAACTACATGTACAAAATATGTTAAATATAACCTATAAACATATAAGATGTTAACTAACATCTTGTGTGTTTATACAATTAATATATTCTGTACATGCAGTTAACAATTTATGGGTCTACAGTTATCATCTTATATACTTATGTATCTATAGTTATCATATTATGTGCTTTTATTTTGTTTATAAGTACAAAAATTATTAATTACAATGTAAAACATGTTAACTATAGATATTTAAGTTTTTGACTAAGATTCACAATGTAACATGAATGGTATAACACTTGCCTATATATCCTACCTGCAAGTTGAATAAAATTAAGACGTAATTAAGTTGGATATAGCTAGAAAGGTCTGAATGATTTGGAAGCTTTGCGCGCTAGCTAAGCTAGGCTATTGTAATTAATCTACCTTTAATAAATAAAGTTAAAGCTAGCGGCTGGAGTTCAATAATCTTTTTTTTTTTTTTTTTTTTTTTTTTTGCATAAAAGCTTAATTTGTACCAAACTGAACTGTGGTGGGACAGTCCAATAACTCCAATAATTAACAACTACATGCATACAAACACACTCCAATCCAAATATACATAGTAATATCAAATAAACCCTTAAATAATTCTGGAGACTTTGCACCAAAGTGCATGTAGTTGTGGATTCTTCCTAATTACATCCCAAAATTCTCTCTACCCTATTATATTGCTAGTTCTACTGTCACATCCCAGTATTTATGAGGGTTTGCTTTCACCACGTGAATATACTAGCTGCCCGGTTAGCATATCAATGTAACCCTGAACACTTGCCCGATCCGTCTCTTTTTTGTTTACAGATATTGTTCTTTGTTTGGCCAGAGTTTTCGAATTTACAAGACTATATTTTGAATTTTGTAAATTCAGTTTCAAGCTTATAAGAAGAAAAATTCAGTTAATATAGTTTCATAACTTACATCAATTTATATACTTTTGTGTACGAAAAACTTAATTTGAATTCAATTTTTTTTTTTTATTTGTAACAAGAATCGAATTCTTACCATACCGCTAGAAGCAAGTTTTTGTTTGGTTTGGATGAGTGACAAAATGAGGGTGGATTTCCTTGTAGGAACGCATTGCACTTCCACTCCTGCGCCGTGGTAGAAACATACCACAATGGTCTTCATTGTCAACATATGGTCATGATTGCTACAAAATCTTTGACCCATCAACCATCGTGATTCTGTGTCCATATAGTTTATAGTGAACATTTACGATCAGTATTAATATATATATATATATATATATATATATATATATATATATATATATATATATATATATTTGGTTGCATTCAAATACAAACCCCTTAAAATATAAACTCTTAAAATATAAATTTGAGCTCGTGCACACATTAACATACTTATATGCACACAGCGTGTAGGATGAAAAATCACAACCATCCATCAAAGCTCATGCACACATTAACATACTTACATACACACAGCGCGTAGGACGAAAAAATCACAACTATCCATCAAAACTCGTGCACACATTAACATACTTACATGCACACAGTTTGTATTTTAAGGAGGGTTTGTAATTGAAAATAATCATAGGGTTGCATTCAAATACAAACTCTTAAATACAAACTTGAGCTCGTGCACACAGTAACATACTTACATGTGCACAAGGCGCACGGTCAACAATTTCTGGGATTAGCTCATGCACACATTAACATACTTATATGCACACAGCGCGTAGGAAGAAAAATCACAACCATCCATCAAAGCTCGTGCACACAACATACTTATATGCACACAGCGCGTAGTTCGAAAAAATTACAACCATCAATCAAAGCTCGTGCACACATTAACATACTTACATGCACACTGGGTACACTGCTAATAATATCTGGGATTAGCTCGTGCACACATTAACAGACTTATATGCACAGTTTTATTTTAAAGGGAATTTATATTTTAAGGGGTTTGTATTTGAAAATAATTCTTTATATATATATATATATATATATATATATATATATATTTGAGATACAGATATGTATATTATTGTCACACGGAAAAAGAAGTAAAGCAAGTGAAGTATGATTCTCATGTCTGATTTATAGAAAAAATAAAGTAGGAAAGAAAAGTAAATTGAGTGTACAAGAGAGTCTAGAAAAGTGTGCCCATGCAATGTTTTTAAGTATTAATGGGTGGCCGGTGCAGCTAGCAGCGAGCAGCGAGCTGTGATCTTACACATGATCAGATGAGAGAGGAGTGGGCACGTGAAACATAACTCGCAACACTGGGAGAGGAAGAATAGAGTGGAAGGTTTATTAAATAGTTGTTTTGATCAAGATATATATCAGAGAGGGAATTGAATGAAAAAGTAACATGGAAATTCGAGCACCGTTATGCATGCGCTTATCCAGAATTTGATGATGAACAAGGTGAGCATGGGAACTTGTTCACTTCTTCTCGATCAACTCTGATCCCAACTACTCCCATCCGTTGCCAATGTGTATATCGCTGACTTTTTGAATTCCATGTATGTTTTCTTAATTCAGAATCAGATGAAGAAAATATCATGTTGCCTTACGTGGTATTTATGATATATATCTAAAGATATTACTAATATTATTATTATTTTTAAATACTTTCTAAAAGATTAGGATGTGATTGGAACTTGAAACCTTTATTTTAAAAGATAATTACGATGCTATCAAAGTACACGATTCTTCATTATTATTATTATTAGGGTAGTTACACTTGTATGTAAAACCGTCTCACGAATAAACATTCATTATATGGGTTGAGCTAGATTAACATAAAAAATATGCTCGGTAATACTTATACGAAACAACGTAACGTTATACTAATCAGGAATAAAATATCTCTTATAAAATAAAATAAAAATTTAATACTTTTGAAGAAAAATGTAATACTTTTACATTTTGATGTAAAAGTATTACAACTTTCAATGTTGGCAAGTAGTTGTTCTTTATAAGAGAAAATGTAATAATTATGAGAAAAAATTTATTGAGTAATCGTTTTAAATCAAAATGTAAAAGTATTACATTAATATTTTTTTCAAAAATATTACACTATCTCATATTAATAATAAACATTTTATTCATGATTAGTATTACATTTTCATCCTCACCCGTCCCATTCACACAATTTTTTGCCTTATTATTAATATTAAATCTCGGAAATGCTTTTTAAATTTTTTAAGTATATGTATATGCTTTTGATACTATATTAAAGTGTATTCTATCACATTTTTTTCCACGGAGAAAAACATTAAAAACATATACATAAAACATGAAAAATTTATATTTATATTTATATAATAACGAGATTAAGTGAGTTGTTGGACGTATGAGGGTTGAAGAATGAGTTCAACATTCTAGTATTAAAACATAACATTGACTACTACACAATGTAAGTATAACGAAATAAACTTGTGTATGCACTAATAGTTATAGCTTTTGACATAGTGGCAAGTACTTGATTTAACAATTGGTATTAGAGCAGGTCATGCTAAGCAATTGAGGTTGGCAGGTGTCGGGAGGAAGCTTGGAAGATTGTTGTGCAATTATAAGAAAATAAAATTGTACATTTGTTACTAACTATAACTTTTGACAAAGTGGTAAATATTTGATCATGACATGTGTTGCACTAACATAAAGAAATAAAGTCATACGTTTGGCAGTACAGTAAGGCTTTTAGCATATTGATAACTGATAAGTGTTTGATTTTGACATTAGCAACGTGATGGTAAACACTTGACTTTGACAAGAGTTATAGTATAAGAAAATAAAGTCACGTATTCATTCGTCAATAGCTATAATTTTTAGTATAATGATAAATATTTTATTATGATATGAGTTACACTAGGTGACCAATCAAACAAATGAAAGTCAAACTAAATATTTTCGTACTTCGTAGCCATTCAATTTGCATGCAATGCATGTATGTACCTCAATTGACGACAATCTCACTCTCTATTCAGCAACCTTCGAGGTCGAATAATTTTATTTTTTAAATAATAAAACTCAGGTACTTCTCATTATTTAAATTTAATTTTGACAAAAATGTATTGTCGCCTCATTTGGTCACGACACAATTTCAAGATGCAAGGACTAAATGTTAAATTAATTGTTTTAAAAGTTTATGGATTCAAGTTGTACTACTTCCTCTTATTTTTAAAATATAAATGTATAAAGTCATCTGCATAATTGTTGCCTTTTCAAATCAGCACCCCACAATTCATGATGAGCATATTGTGCTCTCATCCTCTTTTTCTTGCCTAAGGATGCTCACTGCTATGGAAGACTCAAGCTTCACGGACAGCCACATAGTTTCATTTGATATATAAATTTTATCGAGATTTGACAGAAGTTATTTTTAAATTATTTTTTTATAATATTAATTTTAATATTAGTATACAAAATTTATATATTTATAAATTACGTTAAAAGTATTATTAAACACAAAAATAATAAGTTAAAAATATTTAAAAACAATAAATAAAGAAGAAAGAGATTATTTGACTAATAAGTAGTAAGTAAGACATATAAAATGAGACAGAGAAAGTATACAAATAATTGATTTAATTTATAAATAATGAATAAATTATATAAAATAAGATTGAGAAAGTACTTCAAGTGTTTCTTTTCAAGAAACCCCAATGGTCTATTTGTGCAAAGTTCTTCCATCGGCCATCGCAGGGTTCATCACGTATAAAACTTGAAACGGATTGTATGTGGTGTCGGGACGAATGACGATGTCAGTTTTTTTTTTTTTTTTTTCGAATTTCATTTAATCATTAATTTATGGGTTAGCTCATTATATATTTATACGGCAAAAATTTGTGTGAGACCATCTCACGTATCCTTATCAATGAGACGTGTCAGTTCAAGATTAAATGTAATACTTATATTAACAAATGCAATACTAAAATAAAAATAAAATATTTATTACTTATATGAAAATGTAATACTTTTGAAGGAAAATATAATATTTTTACATTTTTTATCAAAACTATCACATTTTACTCTATAAGTAATTAACAAATACTTGCCAACATTACTTATAAGGAAAAATATAATACTTTTGATGAAAAAAAGTAATATTTTTTCATCATAATATAAAAGTATTACATTTGTATTTAAAAGTTTACATTTTTCTCATAAGTAACAAATACTTTATTCTTAATTAGTATTACATTTTTCAATATAAATATTACATTTTGATATTGATATGATCTGACTCGACTTTTCTGTGAGATCAAATGATCTTACACAAGTGTGACCTTATTTATATTGGAGATTTGTATTTTAAATCTTTTAAGTTATTCATCATTATTTAATTGGATCCATCATCATTATTTAATTCGTTGCTTGTAATTGATGGTCAACAGTACGTAATAAATTTGGTCCAATGCCCAACCAGCCTTTTATTTTTATAACGAGAAAATCTACCTCAGTTACTCATGGTCTCATGGTCATAACTATAGTGCACTTGGTTGGAAAGAATGAATTATGACCAAAAAAAATTAAAATTTGGTGGGAAATCAATAATGTGAAAATAAAATAGGAATTTAAATTACGTTGTTTGGTACAGAGAAATAGAATTATTAGAATTGAGAATGAAAGAAGTTGTATAAATATTAAAATGTCCTTCTTTAATAATAATAGTAAGGAATAATGGTCAAATAGGTCATCCAACTACCCACTAAAATGTAATTAGGCCACCAAACTAAAAATAAATAAAATTACAATTAGGTCCATGAACAACGCAAATTAATTCAATTTCACAAAAATGACTTATTTACCTGTTTGATATAAAATACTTATTAAAATATAAATATTGGGCAGTCAATTCCCACAATACGCATGTAAAAATAGTATGAGAGAATCACTACATGCTATATGAGTAAAAATCGCTGTAGCAAGAGCTAAGTATGAGTATGATCTAGGCACAAGACTAAATAAGCAACGGGAAAAGAAAGACATAGTGGATTTGCAGTCTTGGATAATAAAACTAACATTACATAGATACCAATGCACTTTGGATGAACATGCAGTATCAATCGATGTAATAAATATTTTTAATATTGAATTAACATATCTAAAAACCAAATTTATAAATAGCTATTATAAAATAACTCAAGATCTAAAACTTCAATTTTCCAAGCGCATTCAACAGGAATACGTCAACCAATATGGGCACGATAAAATATAATTGTCCAATAGATCAAAAGTGGCACCAACAATCCTCTTTTTAAAATTGAAAACAGTATCAAAACAAATGGATCTATATTCCAACATTTCACGAAACACATAAAATCTCTCTAATCATTTTCACAAGGATTCATCATTTCCCTGTCCACTAAGTTTTCATGACCTAAAAAATTTGTATGTATACACAAACATACACAGCTGTAACAGTCTTGCCAACAAACATATTCCATCTGATTGCATCAACCAAGAATTTGAGAGAGAACGAGACATTGACCAAACTAATAATTTTTTTATTTTATTTTTATTTTATTTGTTTTTTTTGAAAAAGCAAAGGGAAAAAAAGTGTACATAAAATAAAACTTAAAAAGGGGGACTTCACATGCAAGCAAAATAAATGAGTAACACTTTGGCTTTAGAAAAAGACATGAACAGTTGATTGGATTGTTCGGTAATTACATGCGATACCATATCTATAAGAGGAAAGCCGAATCCCCAAATTTTGGCTTTCACCTATTATTTTACAACTGGGCATCAATTTATTTATTTATTTTTTCCCAATTTTAAGAAAACATTGTCACCCATATCCACCGCTTACAACAATATTTAACCCATAAATAAGGAGCTACCAGATTCACTGAGTGTCTAAACACGATTAACACAAACATTATGCTATAAAGGGAAAAAACATGAAACTACCTTATATAGTTAAATTATGGTACGTTATAGAAATTGATCAGTTATTGTACACATACGTACGATCGACATATATACGTACAACATGCATGCAAGAACATATATGCTTTTTTGTTTAGAAATTATGATCCACGATAGGAGGAATCTACCTGCTGGCTTGGGTAGTCCCGGATTTGACGGATCAAGAAAATAAAAATAAAATTTTTAATAAATTCAATCAAAAGAAGATAAATGGGTACGAAACATCTTTAATCATAATGTTGGAGTCATTTCAATCTCTCCATCAAGGTTAGGTTCCATTAAGATAATTAGTGTAGCATTATTAGAAGCATATTAAAGAGCTAATTGCCTAATGGTTCCGTGGATTATTAACATGATAAGAAAGCATGCAGTAGCAGCCTCTATAATTTGATTAGCCAGCCCTTAAAATTAAAGATGACATGTTTATTCCCTTATCGACTTTGATTCGTTCTACTTTTTATTATAACTTTAAAAATTGTTCGCTTTTTATCTATATTGTCTAAGATGTCGTTAAGTAAACATTTTATAAATAAATAAGTTTTTATACATTTTATAAATAAATAAGTTTTTATAGATATTTTGAACTAATGATTTGTTTAGGAACTCGAAAAATAACGTATGGAAGTCATTTTCTAGCGTTTGACAGAAAATTAAGTTAATGAAATATACACATCTTGATCAAAGTAAAAATGACTCATTTTCTGAATTCCTATCTCACTCAATTCTCTCTCTCTCCCCCCTCCCTATGAATGATGTCAAATAGGTGAATCAGTCTACCATTTGTATAGTTATTATTTGAACTAGATTGAACTAGTCTGATAAAAATGTGTCTGGTCATGTTGGAACGAAGAATAAAAATCCTAACTCCGACAAGCATGTATCCCAAAAAATTAAATAATGTTTAATTTTTTTTTTCTCCAATTTTCTTACTTAACCGTTATTACATTTATTAATGGTCAATTATTATTAATTGTCAATTAAAATATGAATTAAGTTGAGTCAGACCAAACGAATAAAAAAAAAAAAAATTGTTAGCCCCATCGACTTGCCTCACATCCCAAATGAAAAGTAAATTTTTTATTTTAATTTCTTTAGTTCATAATTATTACATTTATTATCAATTTATATAGTTAGTTTTATTATAATAAATTATAAGTTAAAATAATTTATTTACATCTTTTTATTATAATTAATATTTATCAACTATTATAAATTTTAATTTATAATTTTATTTGAATATGAATAATAAGAATTATTATTATCATCATTAAAATAATTAATTATATTTTATAAAAATAATTTTGTCTTAAAAAAAAAGAACTAAACAAAAAAAATTATAAATTTTAGCGAAAAAAAAAAACTTTCAACCAAATATCAAAAAATGAAAATGTTTCTAGAAAAAAATCATCTTTCATGTTTTCAACAGACCCTTAACGCAAAATATTTTTAAAAAAATTAAGGGTTAAAAATGAAACAAATAACATATAAAGATAAAAAAGAAAGTATTGCTAAAATGAAGGATAAAAAAAATAAACGCGAAGGAATTATATGGAGTTGAACAGTTGCACCCTCAACTTTATATTGACAAATGCATTTCAATTTTTTTTTTTTTATTTACTTTTTCATGTACACAGATTCAAAGAACATGTCTGCACAATGGAAAATATTTTGGCTGTTTTAGCAGCATCAAGTCAAATCAATTGATGGCGTCGGAAGGGAGGGGAGGGGCCTGCTAGTCTGCTACGCTGCGCGACCAGAATCATATGCATGCATAGCGCCACCAAGGCCATATAACCAGTGCGCCAAATTAAAGCTAAAGTAGTTTTTTTTTTTTTCTTTTTTTCTTTTTTTCATTGCTTCCCTTTTAATTAATAAATTTGGTGAAATAATGAAAAGTCGTTTAGATCAATTTAGTCTTACTTCACAATGTAAGTGAGTTTAACTAGTGAATCTCTTAATCTCCTTTGGTCAATTATTTGATTCTTCATAACATTGATCTTTTAGACTTGATTGGTTGAGTCTATTGTTTGAATTATTTAACTGATTTTTTTTTTGAAAGGATTTATTTAACTGATTTAATTGTTTATATATATATATATATATATATATATATATATATATATATATATATATATATATATATATATATAATTTCAAACTTAGCTTATAACTGACCGTTAGATTTCAAGATCTTTGCCACTAAAGCATTTTATATTTAGAACTTAAACTCAATTCCAAGATAAGAAACTCTTAACTAGGGGTGTAAACGGGTCAAGCCAAGCTTGAACATGAGTTGCCTCGAGCTCAAAAATTGATGCTCGAGCTCGGCTCGGTAATTTTTCGAGTCGCTCGAGCAGCTTGATTGTTTGAGCTCAAGAGTTCGAGCTCGAGCTCGATCTCGATCTCGATTTGAACTCGAGTTCAAACTCGATTTTAATCTCGAGTTTGATCTATTTAAATTCATACATAAATAATAAAAATTTTAAAAAATTCAAAAGTCCAAATTTCAAGATTTAGGATTTTCCTACTTTGCAAGTTTTAATAATATATATATATATATATTATTTAATTATGACTCGACGAGCCACAAGCCTAGAATATTTAAGCTCGAACTCGACTCGTTTATTAAATGAGCTGCTCAAGTTTGACGTGAGCTCGATTTTGATCGAGCTCGAGCCAAGCTTTGTCCGAACAGCTCGCAAACCGCTCATGAGCCGCTCGGTTTACCTCATTAAATCACGCGATCAATTACAAATTTGTTTTGGGTATGCAAACGAAGTTGAAGGCCCATTTATAACTAACTGCCTAGCCCAACGACGCAACTTGTAATTTAATTTTTTGTAGGAAATAATTTGCTATGGTAATTTTTGCGGGGAATAAGGGTCAAATAAGTCATCGAACTGCACACGATAAAACAATTAGGCCACTGAACTTAAAAAACCAACAATTAGGTCCCTAAACTAATCAATTTCAAACAATTCTTCCAATTTGAAGGTTTTCAACAGGTCAACAGGTCATACTTCCAAATTAATTATTTTTTAAAATTTAAATTTAAAAAATTAATTAAAAAAAAAAAAACTGGTTCCGGCCGGAGACGGTCGTCTCCGGCTGGATTCCATTTTTTTTTTTAATTTAATTTAAAAATAATTAATTTTTAAAATTTATTTTTTAAAAAAATAATTAATTTGGGAGATGACCTGTTGGAAACCTCCAAATTGAAAGAATTGTTTGAAATTGATTAGTTTAGGGACCTAATTGTTGGTTTTTTAGGTTCAGTGGCCTAATTGTTGTATCGTGTGCAGTTCGATGGCCTATTTGACCCTTATTCCTTTTTGCGGAGTAATTATGCTGTGCATCCGTTGCACCATGCATGGTGCATACGGATGCAAAAACGACATCCTTTTATTAAAAACGCGCGTCTCCCCTTTAAAAAAAAAAATTCAGGTTTGATTCCCAGCAACAACATTATGTTGTTCA